GCTCTGCAGACTGCAAGTTGCAACAGAAAGCTCAGATGAGGCCTCTCTCTACAGGCCTAGCGAGACTCCAGCCCTCAAATAGCCTGCTTGCAACACACCCCAAGCAGCACAGAAAGATGAATGGAGGCCTTCTGTGCTTAATCTGAGGCCCAATCCACAAGATATCTGCTTCTTCTGCCCAGAGACCAGTGGAGACTGGGTGTGTGCAGACACACACAACCCTGCAAATAATGGTGTGACTCATGCAACACACCCCAGTTTGTCTGATTACTTCGAAAGCTAGCATCGCTATAGCATGGGGTGGGTTGGGGGGTGCTATGGCCCTCCAGATGTGGCTGGGTTCCAACTCCAGACAACCCCAAACACCACAGCCGGCAACCTCTGGGAGACCACAGGTTTCCCCCCCCCACCAGCTGTGTGGCAGAAAACGGTGCAAATCAGGAGATCCACACAAGCAGCAATTTGTGTTTGGTGAAGGCAACATTAGCCCTCTTCAGGCATTCACAGCCTGTGTGTGTGAGGGCTCTCCACCTTTCAGTCATTCAGATCCGTGAGCACATGGGATTACAGTGGTACCTCAGGTTACATATGCTTTAGGTTACATACGCTTACAGACTCCTCTAACCCAGAAATAGTACCTAGGGTTAAGAACTTTGAGAACAGAAATCATGCAGCAGCGGCGCAGTGGCAGCGGGAGGCCCCATTAGCTAAAGTGGTGTTTCAGGTTAAGAACAGTTTCAGGTTAAGAACAGACCTCCAGAACGAATTAAGTTCTTAACCCGAGGTACCACTGTATTCATCACATGAGAAGCTTTTCTGCACAAAGCAAGAGCCCCACTTTGGACCTGCCCACCTCTTGTGAGGCCGGATGGGGTGGATCCAGAGAGCACAGACCTATTTGCTCCCTCATCATGTCAGCTCTGAGCCCCTGAAGAGAACTAGCTGCTCTCGAACTTCTGATAGCTAAGGCACACTTCCCCCTAGTTATTGGCCATTGTGAGAACACGAAGCTGAACTAGATGGGCCTGGCCCATCAGGATTGTTTTTATGTTCTTACACAACTAATGGGCCTTACTTTATTTATGCCTCTATGAGGCACAGCCTAGGGCAGGGTTTCCTCCCTTAAGTCCAAACCAGTAGCCCTCTTCATCCAGGGCCTCTCCATGTTCAGGGATCATTATTTTCTAATTATTTATTCAGGACCACAAGGCCTGTTCTGTCAGATAGCCCATTCTTGTCCTTTTGCTACAATTCCTGGCCATGTGTCATCTTAACAAGGCTTGGCTGCTTGCTGATTAAATTAAGATGTTCAAGGAGCTGCAGGTCTCAAATGAGAATTCTGATAGTGCTATTAAGCTAATTGCTTGTGTAATAAGAGCCAATTGATAAGGAACAATTTACAACATAAAGGGGGGGGGGGGAATTGCATGGTTGGGAGGTGATAGAAGAGAATGACTTCATACAAACGTTCCCAACTTCTAAGCAATTTCACTTTTATTCCATGTAAACATTGATAGTAACACTGAAAAAATTGTATTTCTGTCTCAAACTTTCTAAGTACTTCACATATATTACCTCCTTCCTTATAATAACAACAACACTATAGAGGCGGTGAGAGTCATTTGCCTAAGGCTGAATGGCAAATGAAAGATTGAAACTAGGAGCATCTTGATTCAAAGCTAAAGTCTTCATCACTTTGCAACACCTTCAAGCATCTCTGTACCCATGATCCCTCTTATCTATCCTTCTCTCTCTCTCTCTCTCTCTCTGCACCTGATAACCTTTGCATACTCTATAAATTCTGTGAACCACCCTGAGGCCTCTAGGTATAGGGCGGTATGTAAATTCAGTAAATAATCATAACAACCCCAAAGTTGTGGCCTCCATTTGGGAGCATGCTGTTCCTTGTGTGCTGCACTGTGCTGTTTTTAATGTTTTGTGGGTTTTTTGTTGCTTATTACAAAGTTCTCCAACTTTCATTTAAAAACATGAATACATTACGTTATTAAAAATTCATATAAAACATTCACATTCTCATCCAAGCACCTACAAATCTTACAAACACACACACACACAAACATGTCCCCCCACTGTACTTAATACAAATCCAAGTGCCCTCACTGCCCTGCATTAGTCTTTAAATCCTGCTGAGAACATGCCTCAGTAATACTGAAGCTTTCTACCAACAGGTTTTCTTGCTATTTAAGTATTATATTTCAAGAAACATAAAAAGCAATGGCAGCCAGGTAAATAAAAATTAACTCCAAAATCCACAAACCTGGGGAATGCTTTAGCATCCTTCAGCAGACAAGTTATGCAAAGGAGGGAGAGGGGAAGCAAAAACTCAAAAGAACTATTTAAAAAATAGCTGGTGGTATAGCTATGAGGTCAGCCTTTAGACTCAGGGGGCCTCCCAAGTTCGGTATTTTGCAGGAGAGATTCAAGCACATCTCAGAACATCAGATCTACAGTGCAACAAATCCACTAAGAAAACTAAGCAAAAATTGGCTCTTTGCAGTTTGGAGATATGGAAATGCATGCTTAAAACATGGCACACAAAGCCTATGGAAGAGGTATAGTAGAGCTGAACAGAATTCAGATTTGGGGGATCTACCTTGGTCCAGAGCCAGCTGCAAAATGGTGGCTCAGAAAGGCAGGCTTATGTGAAATAGTAGCTTTGTGGTGGGACCCAGGACTCTGTTCTCAACACTGGAACTGAACTCACGATTCCTTTGTACAAGAGAACATAAAGGAGCCTGCTGGATCAGACCAACGGCCCATCTAGTCCAGCATCCTGTTCTCACAGTGCCAGCCAAATGCCTCAATGGAAAGCCCACAAGCAAGATTTGACCACAAGAGCACTTGTCTCTCAAGTAGTTTCCAGCAACTGGTCTTCAGAGGCATTGCTGCCTCCAACTGTGGAGGCAGAGCATAGTCATTTTGGCTAGCAGCCATCGATAGCCCTGTCCTTCATATATTTATCTTATCTTCTTATAAAGCCATCCAAGTTGGTGGCCATCACATAGTTTAGCTATTCACTGCATGAAGGACTTTTTTTTCTCTGTCCTGAATCTTGCAACACTTCTGGTTTCTCCTCAAGGTCCATTAACTTCAGAAACACACCTTTTTTTGCTTTTTTTAAGCTCTTGCTTACCAATCAGGGGATGGAAATCTTTGCCAATCCACCACAAATGACCCAGAAACCTACTTATATATCCTGATTTTCCTTTAGACCACCCCTAATATATAGATATTTTCTTTGCAATTTTCAGTATTTGAGGGAAATGGTTAAAACATTTTATAAGAACTTTAAAGTACTGGACAACCCCCCCCCCTTAAAAAAAAACCTCATGCCAAAGCTAATAAGGCAGATCGAGATAATCCTTTGCCAGGCTTTTGCTCACTAGGGAGTTTTGCTGTATAAACACAGAAAGTAAGAACAATTCTGAAGGAGTTTAAACTGCCTTTAAAGTTGAGTTTTAAAGTGGCTTTTGTACTTATCTTTAATGAATATAAAGATTCACTTTATTAAAGCTGTTTACAGTCTGCCACTGTAGCGTGACCAAGCAACAGAACCCAGGAAGTAGCTATCCAAATCTAAGGTTATTTTCTTAACGTCCATGATTAATTAGGGCAAGAAGTAGGTTTGGTCTCCAAATCTTCAGCACAGGGCGGTCCAACACACGACCCGAGGGCCACATGTGGCCCTCAAGGCCTTCTTTGGAGGACCTTGGCAACATCTGATGCCCCCACCACCACAGCCCTCGTGCCGCCTTCCGAAAGCCGAGGGTAGATGAGGCTCTGGGCTTTGGGAAGAAGACCTAAGGCTCTGACAAGAAGCTAGAGTCCTCTCACATTCTTCCCAAAGTCTAGTTAGCACTTCCCCAGCTTTAGGAAGGGGGTAGGAAGGCTTTAAGGGCCCTGCCAGTGCCTCACAGTGCAAGGGCTGTGGGAGAGGTGTCAAATTTTGGGCCCACTTCCCCTTCCCTACCTCCAACCCCGTGCAACAAAGCAGTGTGTGGCTCGTGGGTTCCATATTGAAATACTCTTGCAGCCCACTTGGTATGAAAAGTTGGACTGTCCTGCTTCAGTACCTCCTTGTCTCCCATATAGGGCAATGGATGCCAGTCACTCCTATGGAGAAAAGAACTGAGTTGCTTGGGAGGTCAAGAAGCAGGTCTCTGGCTCTGAGAAGATCTCACTGGTTCTTAAATTCCCCATCAATGCTTGCACCCAGGCATAGTTTTTGCAGCTCAGGTGTGTAATCCTACAATCAAAGAAACCTGTGCCAAATCCCACATTGATTTTTAAGTGGGCAGGATTTGGAGGCTCGGAGAATAAATGGATTTGCAGCTAAGCTAGAACTCAACACCACGATGACAGGCCTAATCTTGAGTCAGCCCACTGCTCCATCTAGCTCAGAACTGCCTACTCTGATTGGCAGCAGATTGACCGGGGGGGACGGACCTTGCCCAGTCCTACCTGGAGATGCCAGACAGGATTGAATCTGGGACCCTATTCCATGTGGATCAGAGCTGCAGCCCTTCTCCAAGACAAGGAATGTGGATCAGTGTGTAATCTGACCCTAATGACCACCTATCTAGCCTTGCAGAAAGGGGTATTAGCTGGGAGGTTACTGACCAGTGGTGTCTGGTGCCCATTAGAACTAGTGGGACAGGAGTCCAGGAGCAGTCAAAGCCAGATCCAGCAGGTTCTTATTTTGTTCCCACCTTCTTCCTCCTTGCTGAGGGAAATGTTGAGGCTAAAGAGGAAGGTGGCAGCCTATGCCACCTCCTGGACAGGATATAAGAAAGAAGACAGGACAGGTGGAGGCTTGCTATGGGGTAGACCGAGACTGGCTGAGCTGTGCCCCGTTAGAAACATAAGAAGTTGCCTCCTACTGAGTCAGACCATTGGTTCATCTATCTCAGTACTGTCTACACTGACTGGCAGCAGCTCTCCAGCATTTTAGACAGGGAGCTGCTCCCTGCCCTACGTGGAGATGCCACTGGGAATTGAACCTGGGGTCTTCTACACGCAAGGCAGATGCTCTACCTACTGAGCTACAGCTTTTCCTTGACCATTCACTCTTCCTATAGCCATTCATCCTAATGGACCAGCCTGCAATGGAAAATGCTCTTTTCCCATGCCACTTTAACACAGCTGTTTAATAGCTGCTAACTGCTCATTTATCCCCATTTGCTCCCTTCCTTTTTTGCCAAGAGCTACAATACGATTTTTCTCTCATTTTCTCTCTCACTTCTCTTATTTTCTTTTCAGTTTCAAAGGAAGGCAGGGCTGGGTGGGTTTGGGAAGTGGGGGGTGAGGAGAGCAAAGGCAGGAAACGCCGCCAAGTAGATGGTGTTTGAAGAATTCAAACACCCCTTGGCATTTAAAGTTCAGAACGTGGTTAGAAAGCCTGTCTTAAGCAGAAGATTCTCCGGGCAATGAACACACCCTCTGGGTGATTTATGGCAAATGCACATTAATGGAGACAGCTAGAGGAACAAAGAAAGGAAGAGTTGGCACAGCACTTCCAACTCCTGCATTGCTTTTCTCAAATTTCACCCACCCACCCCGCTGCCTTGATTACATAACTTTCAGGTCTTCCCAGGGTCACAGTTCTTAAGTGTGCATAAAATGAGTCCTCAAGTATGTTTGCATCACTAGAAAGCTTGCAATTTATAGGATTAGTTTTTATTTTTGTTTCATTTTTTGCTGTTTTCTACCAGCCCAGCACTGAAGAGGTATAAGTACCCTGAACCCTATTTCTGCACACACACCCCTTCACATACAAATCAAGCCCTTCTAGACCTGCTTCAGAAGGAATGGCAACATAGTGATCCAGCAGAAACAAGACACCCCAGGTTCAAACCCTGATATGTCCAGTTGTTGTTGTCGGTAATTTAGTTTTTATTGAGAATTTTTAACGCAACACAGGACATTAACCACAAATCATCAACAAACCCAACCCTGGTACATTTTGGCAGTCAGGGTGAAAAAGGAAAGAGAATTAGGGGAGGGAAAGGAGCAAAAAGGTACCACACAGTGGAAAGGTAAAAAAACAATATCCCTGATAGAAGAATGGAGGCTTTTCACGGACTATTTTTAAAAAATGCTATAGTCAAATGAAATAGTAAGCAGGATTCAAGATAAAGGCAGTGGAATAAAAATGATAAAATAACTGTAATAGAGAAACTTGTAATAAATAAAGAGATAATGCAGTCAAAAAGATTTGAGTAAAAGCACTGTGGAGATGGGGTAGGAAGTCAACTATGAAACAATGCAATTATTTGATATTAAGATAATTGTGAAAATGTTTGAAAACGCTAATAAAAAAATTATACAGCAAAAGAAATAATATCCCTCCAGTGATCAGGTAATGACTTAGATGTCATATAAATGACAAACTCAAGCCAAGGGCCAGATGTCTTTGGGGAATAACATCAGACCACTGGGGAAGGCGAGAATCAGGCCAAGAGAGGGGCTGACACACAACAAATTCAGTAAACGGAAACCAAGTAAATGAAACAAATGACTTAAGATTTGATTCCCCTAAAGGGATCATCCACACTTCTGCTTGCCCCGTGCCTAGAAAGCATAGGTCCAAGAGGTTTTCCCCTTGTCCTGTCAGTTTCCATGAAAAATCCCACTGTTTACTGCTCAATCAGAACAAACATCAATTGGTTTCTGAGGACTGATTTTTTTTCTGATTCAGTGGCAAGCAGCGCTTTATCCAGAGTGCGGGGTGGGAGTGGCAGGACAAGTGGAAGTGTTGACATACCCATAGTCGTGTGTTATGCTCTGCAAGATTCTCAACTGCTACCAATTGCCATACTTTGTTCCACCACTCTCCCAGAGAAAAATGAGTGTGATACCTCCAATGGGTTGACAAAAAGGCTGGGTTAGAGGAAAATTATGATTCAGGCCGAAGTGGTGGTGCATGAATGCAGTACAAGTCATTTAAGATATTAGTAAGTTATCTCCCATTTACTTGGAACAGTCTTTACCCACCCAAAAAGACTAGCAGCTAAGCCAAGTTGTAGTCCAACAGCATCCGGGAGGTACCAAGTTGGTGAAGGGGAGCTTAGGGCACACCCATTTCCACAGCACTTCGCAGCAAGCCATCCGAAGGAGGAACTGTGGTCAATCTCTGTGGTGGGATACAGCCGGCTTTACTCAGCTGGGCTTCAAAATGGCTGCTGTCCCAAGCACACTGTGTCATTAGGGTTTCCTCTCTAAGCCAGCAGGACCTCACACAGAAAAGTCCCCGGGCTGGGTTTCGGCCTGCCTCTGGAAAGCCATTCCCTCCCAGCAGAATGTCTCATAATGTCTCTGTTTCTACAAGAATTTCCATTCTCCATCTGCCACCAGCAGCTTTCAGGCTAGCGGTACGCTTACAAGTCATTCAAGGTTAAGGACTCTACTGAGAAGGGTGCCTAGCTGAGGTCTGGGCCTCTTCTATAGAGCAATTGTCTGGTGGCGAAGGTAGTTCTGTTGCTGCTGCCTTGGTGCTCTGAATACTGTGCTCAGGGATGTCTGTAGCTTGGTGACAGAGTAGGGCTGGGAAAGATTCCTTGTCTGAAATAACTGGAGAGCTGCTGCCTGCAAAAGGCATCCTTCCCCAGTTTTGGGTCCTCTAGTTGTTGCTAGGATTACAAAGACCACCACCCCCTGCCAGCATTGCCAATTGTAAAGGATGATGGGGGTCGTAGTCCAAGAATATCTGGGGACCCAAGGCAGATGAATGCTAATGTAGACAATAGTGAGCTAGCTGGGCCAATGGCCTGAAGTGGTATATGGCTGCTGCCTCCCTCTCTCAGGTAACTGGGGGAAACTGAAGAAGGAGAGGGTGGATGAAACACGCAACCCATTTTTGTGTGTGTGAAATTTCTTTTATTATTATTAGTGTCTGTGTGTGCAAATAAATTGTACACAGAGAGGGGGGAAATGTTGTTTTAAAAAGGGAGCATATACTTATTTGAAAAACTGATGCACCCACTCCACAAAGGGATGTGCTCCCTTCTCCCAGGGTTCTTTCCAAGCAAATTAATGTTAGGCAGGAGGAAAATTAGAAGGAATGCACAGGAAGGTTTGTAGGTACAATTTCTTTCATCTAAATGTAGGTGCCCATACATGCATTCACCTTTCTTCATTCAGCTTTCTTTTCTTTCTCTTTCTCTCTTTCTTTTTCTCTTTTTTTTTAAAAAAGGGATAATGTAGTCCAGAAAAGGCCTCTGAGGTCATCTTCTATGCTATGTCAGCCAAGACAGGGTTGAACTTAATGAAGTGCACTGGCAAGTGTCCTACACATTTAGCAACTCCAATATCCTGTGCACTTTTGCTCTGTGCCTGATACTTTATCCAAGCTTATAGGAAATTAAATATAATGTTGGATGTGCACCTTTGATTCCAAAGAGGCATCCCTATACTTGACACTGTAATAAAAATCTCTGCCAACATATCCTAGAGGGAAGTTGTTTTCCACACTATGCTATGAGAGGCAGACAGTATGCTTCTAACAAAGAGTCCACGGTGCTTAATTGCCTAATGACAACTTTGTTCTAAAGTACACTGCCAGATCTGCTTAGGCACCCCATCACTGGCTGCATGAGAATTGCATGAGATTTGCTGCATGGCACAGCACTTTTGCAGCCCACTGTTGGGAAAACAGATTGGCCTCCAAAAACATCCCTGGATAAGCACTCTGAGCACTTAAGTGTTCAGCCCTACCTTTCCTCATTCTGCGGCCTTGAATAAGGTGTTCCCTCCCAGGTGCAGGTCTGCAAAATGGGAATAATTCAGCTACATGTTTTCACAAAGCTAGTGAAGGCAGAATCTGAAAAGCATCTTGCTGACCTGGCTTAGACCTGGGAGAAAGGCGAAGCTGGCCAAGGAGCAGGAAGAGAAGACAGCCTCTTAAGGTGCATTTATTGATGCACCTTATAGACAGGAAAGCCTTTACAGCAGCCAAGGACTATCCCATTACCAGCTCCGACTTGCTACTGCTGAGAAGATCCTCTTTCTGTTCCACCAGGTCTCCTTGCAAATCCCTCTTCTGGCCCCTGAGCTGGGGGGCATTAATGCACAGGTTAACTGCACATCATTTCCAAGACCCACTGTGAACTTCAGCCCTGGCATGTGAGAAGAATAGAGGCAGCATGAGTATAATAAGACACCCACAGCTCCTTGAAAAAGTTATAATCCCGTACAGGATCAGGATTAACAAGTGGCAATGTTGAGCAGTTGCTTCAGTTTATCCGATTTCACAAGTGGTGAGCATGCACCCCACTCCATCTTCATGGTGCTGTCTTTTTTTGAAAAAAGGGGGAGGAGCTTTAGCAGAAAACTAGAGAATGCCACCTGAACACCTCTCCCCCCTCCCCCAAAGTACAATGTTATCTAGATACCAAGACATGAAAAAGTGGCATGAAACTACAGGAGAGGTAGAGTGAAGAGAACAGAACCTTATGGCACTTTTACAAGTCGCAGCTGATGGGGGTGGACTTTGCTAGCACTGATGGGCTGGCCTGGAGTCTTAGGATAACTTCACAAAGAGAGTTTGTTGTGGACTCTATGCTACTCATGCATGCAAGGGCTTGTTTGTTTGTTTGTTTGTTTGTTTGTTTGTTTCTGCAGCATGCACGCAACATTGTTCTTCTCAGGGTTTCATCCACTTTAATCCAGGTTTGCCATTTCCAGTGTGTGTGTGTGTGTGTGTGTGTGTGTGTGTGTGTGTGTGTGTGTTTTAACTTAATGGATTGCCCACAAAAATTGTGAAAGGGAAAAATAATACAGGTCAGCATTTTGATGGGAATGCATTGAAGAAACAGTAAAAAACCTCCTTGCATGAGCAGCACAGAGTCCTTGGAGGTTAAGGACTTTTGGAGGTAGAGCTATAGTTCCAACATGAGTCAGAACCCAAGAATTCAGGCCAACATCTCCCTGGCAATGTGTGGTTGTTTTGTGTGTGTTCTCATCAGAATTTGCTAGATGTCACCAATAGTTTTTGCTGCTAGTTATTTATTTATTTTCTGAACACTTCTCTGGAGCAAAAACGGTACTCCAAA